AGAGAGAGAGAGAGACAGACAGACATACAGACAGACAGACAGATAAACAGACAGACAGACAGACAGACAGACAGACAGATAAACAGACAGACAGAGAGGGATCACAATCGACTGCAGTTTTCTTTTTTCTCAGAAAAACAGCAATATTAACCAACAGAATTACAGCAAACAAAATAGTAATAAAACAGCACAACTTAATACATTTCACACACAATAAATACTTAATCACCCATACATAATATACATAAACTTGCGGCGAGCGGTGTGGAAAGAGTGAATAGACAAATCAAACCTCCATTTCATCCGCATTCATGCGAACGAGGCGCTGAACTCTGGTCTTCTTCTGCGTTCTGGTGTTGATGATCGTGTCCCCTTTCTTGATACCGCCCTGGTAGACGCGCACGTATGTCAGTTGGCCAAACTTGCCTGCCTGCAGAGGGGAGGTAAACATGAGGTTAACAGATTGCTACGTCCGGCCGGGTTTGAGTAAGGAGAAGCATGTCGACGCGATAACTGTCAATTAATACTGGGAAATAGTGAGATAGACTGGCAGAAATTACAAAGGAAATGTAAGAAGTACGGCCTATCAGTGGATCCTCCAAGCACCCACAATTTTATTAAAACTGAAAGCAAAACCTTTTTTTTCTGTTGTGGTGTGACGACGTGTTAGAAAAGAATATATATAAACTGCAAAGAAAACTTTCTCTCCATTTGGGACATACAGTAAGATAAGATGTTTATCTCCTTCCAAAGAAATTTGCTATTTGCTGCAGTCTAGTAAATACATACACGGACACACACTCGTCAACACACACAAACATGTACAAACACACTCTGTCTCTCTTCCCCTCTCTTTCTTTACCCCCCCCCTCTTTTTCATACACACACACACACACAAACACACAAACAAATAGTCATTGAATGGACATACAAATTGATGTTATTCTCGAACACATATATTGAGTAAATCATAGATTTAATCTGACATATTAAAGCAAGTGAAGCGTTCTCACCTCTAACTTGAAAGCAAGGCCAACGAACGCAGCATCAGTGGAGCGGGCTGGGTTTAGGCTGATCTTTTTAGACTTCTCAGCTCTGTTGACAGAAAAAAAAAAACCCTGACTAAACACCGTCTGGATTTTGTTTCAGCATCGAGGAAAACGCTATACTATAAGCAATCAAAAATCCAAAGGTACATTACATCCTTGATGAAAAACAAGTGAACCTCTCACTGACTTACTGTCACACAGCCAGTTTCTAAAACAGCAAGCGATAGACTTTGAAGAGAATGATGGAGACAGGTTACTCTATGCCCCATTAGAATTCAGAACTCTTCCAAAACAGAACAGCCTTTCTCAAAAGGGTCAACAAGAGGTTTTTTTTTCTCAGTTACACTCACTTTTGAGATGTTCGAGTCCAAAGTTTTCACATGTTATACCTCCCTCAAATGACGAACAAAGTTATCAAAGCTCTATCTAAAAAAAAAAAATTCTAATAAAGGAAAAAGAGTCCTTTCTTTAATATAACATGATATAAAGGGTATATGGGGAGAGGCCCCAGACACTCCAACTCCAAACACTAAAAATATTCCCAGTTGAATCCCTTGTTGTTCTGAGGTGGTGAGTTCTTTAAGGGGTATCGCTACCTTGAAAACCAGCTCTGCAACCAGAGAACCTGTGAAGCTAGTACTGGTATACGTTGAAACGTATGTGGAGGAATAAAAATATACAGCTTCAAACAATTCCTAAAATCATTGGGTACCATGGAAACGGTGGCCATCTTGAATTTTGTTGACAATTTTATTTTCTTAAACCTTTCAAAACTATGATACCTAGACGATTTTTTTAAAAGGTAAAAGGGAAAGAAGACATGAAATTATACAGCTAGCTAGTTTTAATATTGATAGGACAATTAGTAATCAGTTCAGAGGTCTCGAAAGTGAGCTTGTCCAAAAAGAGTGGAATATTTAGCCAGCTTGTTTTCTGTTGAGAAAGATTTAGCAGGACTGCCTCAGTAACAACAGTTAGTCATTTTATACAGCAAGCTTTTATTATACAGTCAATCTTGCACTCATCATCATCAATTGCCAAATATGCAACAGGCATTAGCCATCATGGCTCTTCATTCATTCCTCTGCTCGGATGATCTAAAAAAAAAAGTTAGATTATCCTGATCTTTTCCCAACTGTTTAGGCTCTCCAAGCAGGTTTCTCTGGGTCTATCCTTGCCTCATTTGCCAGTGACGTTCAAAGTCTTTATGTCTAATCAAGTGTCCTAGAAACGGCATTTGTCTCTTTCAGCTTGTTTTTATCAGTGAGCGGCCCATGTGGGCTTCTTATGTATTATCTTATCATTCTTCAAAAAACTACAAAATAAAAATCAACTCTAAGCATATCATCAGCCAACAGTTCGGATGCTCCACGCCAAAAATTTTTATTTTCCATTTATTGAAATCTTGTAATCTGTGGTATCTGTTGCATGAACTCTTTGGTAAAAATTCAAATACTGAATGTTGAAAAAAAAGTAAGAAAAGATGCATGATATGGTTACAAACGTTGAAAAAGAACGAAAAATTGTTCTTTTCTCTTCTTAAAAATTTGGCATTCTGGATTATGTTAGTACAATCAAACAACTTGCTGACCTTATAGAAATGGAATTTACAAAAACACAGTCACAGAAGACGATAAACAGACACACTCAAGAAAATACCTACCCTTCACTATTGTCCAGACAGATATTGGGCACCTCCGAAGGGTTGGGCAAAAAGCTGATAACAGCATCCAGCAACGGTTGCACCCCTTTGTTCTTCAGAGCTGTGCCCACGAGCACAGGTGTGAAAGTTCTGTCGTTGGTCGTTCTCCTGATGGCAGCCTGGAAACAAGATTTGAGTTTCGGTAAAGAGGAGAAGAGTGATTCAACACATGAGCCACTATGAGTGAAACAACACATGGGCCACTATTTAGACTTGCTGTCTACTGTGTGGCAAAGAAAAATGAATTGGCATGGTCATGTAACAAGATCGTGTAGCCTATCAGGGAACTGAGCAGGGAAGGAGAAGGAGAGGGAGAAGGCAAAGAAAGAGGTGGACCAACAACATTGCGGAGTGGACAGGGAAATTCTTCTCCCAAACTCAGGCGTTCGCAAACAAACGTGAAATGTGGAGGCATCTGACGAGGCTCTCTATCATACAACGCCCCTATGATCCTCGTAGATTATGGGATCAGTAAGCAGTAAGTAAAGAGGAGCACATGGATGCAGTCAACATCACCACCATCAGCTTTTTTTCACCCTGTACCAGAGAGCAGGCCATCAACAAGAGCTCTCATTGTACTTCTGTTCTAGGCTATTATCTTCATTTCAGTCCAGCTGTATACCATCTCCTTAATGTCTGAATCTAAGTTCCCTCCTACAAATACTTTTAGGCCTGCCTCTCTCCCTCTTTTCATGCAAATTTCATCCAAAAGCCTGGTGGGTAATGTTTGTTTTGTTTCCTCAATGTGTGTCCAATCCACTTCTGTTTTCTCTGTCTGATTCCTATATTTAGATTTCTATTGATTTATTTGCTTTCATAGTTGTTCATTTCTAATTGTGTCAGATAAATCAATTTTTAGGTTCTTTCTTAACACACTTGACAAATTCCTGTGACTAGTTAGCTTCCATGTTTTTGATCCACAATCAACCCAATAATAGTCATTTAGTGATCAAGTAGTGGGATTAAGCAATACAATTGCACAGGAACAAAAGATGGAAACAGTAAAAGTGGAAGAATAAAAGAATTCAAAATAGTTTGAGAGGCCATCTGCTTGTTTTCCCAAAAATTTTGTTTCAAGTTTATACTTAACAGAAAGAGAAAAATGACTTCACATTCTAAAACTTACAGTTTTAGTTGCCAGGAGGAGGAGCAAGAGAAATATAAGATGTGATCATAGTCATGTCGATCCATTTCTCTTCACTCAAACGCAGTCTCTTTGAAAAAGCATGTGTCAACAGCAGCAGTATTATAGAGTTAGGCTGAACACTATTACTCACCATTAAATGCAATAGTAACCACTCGTAATAATTGGGGACAAAAAGTCTTGATCTCTGTGAAGTGGATAAAAAAAAGACACCAATACTCACGGTGATTTCCTCCGGGGATGGTGTCTTTTCCTCCAGAAACATCTCCCCCAGCTCTTCATCCACGTTGGAAACCATCTCTGAAACACACACGCCATTAACGAGGGGTTCAGCTCCTTATTTCTCTCTCTCTCTCTATCTCTGTATATATTATGTTGTTGTCAACTTCTTTTTCAAATCAGTAGGTATAATTCTGATGTGAAGCCTCAACAAACTCATAAGCTTCAGTGGGTGTCTCCATCAGTATTACATAACAAAATATGAGCATAAAGTTTATTTTTTTTTAATATTTAAGATTTCTATACATGGATTTAAAACCAGTGAGCACTAAAACTTTCCACGCCAGAACATCACCGTTTATTTCATGATTGAAACAAATGTAAAACATTCCGCAATATCAACAACTCATCAACTTCATGTCCTATACCACTTAAATAACGACTACTAGGTATGGCTAAAAAAAAAGTACCGTTTAAGAAACATGAATAGTGATTTTAAAAAATCTAATGGCCAGCCATTTCCAATCCATATAAGACATAACTGCACCCCCACCATGAATCCCAGTGTAATCCTGGATTTGCACACCAGGTCAGACAGTTTCGAATGAGGAAGGAGGGGCCTATATTTTATAGTTACTCAAATGATGTATGATGGGCTAGAAAGAAAAATTTATCACAAGTTGGTAGGTGTTGATTTATGCCCTAATCGACACAATTTATATCAGTTACAATCCACAAGCTTCAACCTTATCTCTCGGGGACAACCCGGGCTGACAGGGGCACAATGTCCCAGCAGAAAGACCAAAACACTGCATAAAAATTCTCCCCACTTGAAAAACAAGTTCAGATCTTTAGCGTGAAGCAGTGAAGCCTCCAACAGCTACACCACAGATGCTGGTGCTCTAAATTGTGCAGCAAAAAGTCCACAACAAAGTCGTGATCTGACATAACTAACCGATCATTTCCTGCCTTCTGTCTTTTGCTTCTGCTCGCATGTCAGATGGGATTTCCTCTTCACGAAGAACAATTCTGCAAAAAACAAAAATAACCCCACACTATTATTACTTGAGAGGTCATCGAACTGATACCACAGACATGTTTCAGGTTTAGACTGAACAGAAAGAGAAAAGGGACTTTAATGTCGGCCAGCTATTCAGGTGTATAATGCATGCCCTATATTTTTTTAAATTTAATTTTTATTGCAGATGCTTAATCTGTACATTCAGTTGTATTTCCAAAAGAATTATTTTGTTGAAATTCAAATTCTAAATGTAGATAAAGTAATAAGATAAACGCAAGAAAAGATACATAATTACATATTGTTAAAATTGTTAAAAGAATGAAACAGTGTTTCTCTTTCCTGAAAAACTTTGCTCTCAGTACATTTGAATAGCTTGCTAACAATTTACATTAAAGATCACATTTTTTAACACTTCACTAGAGACCTAAAAACAAAAATTCCAAAACTTATTTAATTTTTTTGTTACTACAAGACATGATTCTATTCAGTAAAAAAAAATGCAAGGAAATAATGACGAAATTAATGCCTTTTCTCAGTCACAGAAATCAGCAACTCAAACCACAATGTATGATACAATAAAGTGTGAAATATAACAGAATTAAATTTTCTGATTGTACAAGTACCAAAATGATATGGACCTGAAGAAATTGAACACTTACAGCTTAACCTCTTCGTTACCTTATGACGTACCAGGTACGTCACGAAAATGCACAATTTTTAGCGCTGTGCAGTACCAGTACCAATTTGCCACTCCTGGTTGCCTTTATGACGTTACATGTACGTCATGTAACCTGGCTCTAATTCTTCTGTACAGAGTTTTAGCCACAAGCACTGCATAGATTCGCATTCGGGAATAACTGACGTGCATTTCCGTACAAAATTTGTTAGTATTTCTTCATTGCTTGGCTTACAAGCGATCGATAAACATAGATCTATGCTTGCTAGGGACCGCGTGCTCTCGTAAAACGCAAACATCGAAATGACTTTAAAAAGGCAAATAACTTCACTTTTTTACTTAGATTTGCAGGTTATTCGAAATTCTGAGTAAGATGGGGTATAAGAAAAGAGAGAAGAGTGACACAATCGAAGACCCGATGTCCGAAGTATGTCACGAGTGCACTACATCTAGACAGCGCGTCCATTAACACTGAGACATTAGGCTGCTGTCCATACCAAAAAAAAAAGAAAAAAAGGCTGCTGTCCAGGGTAATGACCTCAGCTGAAAATCCGTGTTGACAGTAGGAACGTACACCCCCCCCCCCCCCCTCTGGCAATGAAAGGCATAAGGGATAAAAGAATATTTTACAAAAAGTAGTATTAATTGCAAGTTTTAATCCTTTAACCCTATCCATACGCCTGGGGTCATTTTGTCGTATTCTTCACATTTTAGAATACTTCTAGTGCGAAGATCTTTTTGAAACTTTCAGTATTTCTCAAAAAATCATTTTGACAGACTGCTATGCAAAGCGTACGGATCAGATTAACAAGTAAATTTCCTCTTTGGAAAGTGAGGGCACAGAGTTCCCCACATTGTATGAATACAATAGTGGAACATGACGTACGGATAGGGTTAAAAAAACATCTAAAAAAGTTATACCCCTAAAAAATATAAAATAATACAAAACAATTTGTACAAATATATAAAGAAACAAATAAATTAATAAACAAATAAATGAACAAATAAATAAATAAACACATTGTAAAAGTCTCTTTTTCTTTCTTTTTTGGGGGGACCAAAAAGGAAAAATACTTTTTATTTACTCATATGACACTGAAAACTGAATCTCGGACAACCTTACAAACATCGAAGGAAATCAATCAACTTTAGAGGCAGCTGAAGGCTATCTCGCTTATTAATAGATCAAATGTTGCCAAATTTCACACATAGTAAGGAGTCTTAAAATCCGCAATCAAATCTGAGAAAAAAATTTGGTTTCCATGGATACGGCGGCCATATTATTGGATTTTTTTTACCTGTCTTATGTAATTAATACCACACTTATTTTTCATGGAAATAAATTGTTTTTTGCATGCATCTTGGCAAACAATAGATCTGCAAATCTGTGTGAAGAATGTTTCCTAAACGTATTAGAAACATTTTCATGAATTTTTTCCTGAGGTAGTATTCACTTTTGCAAAAAATCTGTGAAAATCCACACTCCAAACACCACCAATAAAAAACTATTCCATATATCAAAAATTAATTACCATAATTTTTAGTATTACATCTTCTTTTCATTCTGTAAAAATTTCATGACGATTGGATGAAAAAAAGGAGTTATTTAAATAGTATATAGAAAAACACGTTTCGAGAAAACGGGCGATAAAGAAAAATAAAAGATTGACTTCATGAGGAAATGGTGGTGACAAACATGCCAAGTATTGGAAAAAATAAGGCTTTAGGGGGATCTTTTGCAATGAAATAGTTGTAAGACGCTAATAAGGCCTACAACTTAAAATCCATAGTCTTGAGCCCAATCAGGACTTTCAGGGAGCCGCCCCCTTAATATGAACTTGAAGAAGGCAATTGACACAGGAAATTACTCCTTATCATATGCTTGAAAAAAGATTCTAAAAACATGATCCACTTCTTTGATCCTGCACTTAAAGAATAACAACAAATAAACAAGTGAACAGCTTCTGAGTCAAATACATGCAAAGCATCATATCAACATACCTCTCTTTTCATTCCTTTCTTTCCCCTTTCTATACCCCCCCCCCTTCCCCTATTTTTGCTTTCTCTTTCCTCCTCCCCCTTTCTCTCTCTCTCTCTCTCTCCCTCTCCCTCTCTCTCTCCATTACCCCACCCCCTTTCTACTTTTCTTTCTCTCCATCAACCTTTCTCTCTCTAACTAATGTCCTTTACTGATAAGCTGGCATGAAGAAATGAGCAGAGGACACAACACTTACCCCTGAGGCTCATCGAAATATATGGCTTTCTCCTGCACCAGATCAATGATGCCTTTCTGGTTCGCTTCCAGGCCAATTGGAATGTTCAAGAATGCGGCATTGTGGTGCAGTTTTGACCTGTGTGTGGAGAGCAAAGCAAAGCTTGGAATTTAAATCATAATAATAATAATTATAATTATAACAATAATAAAGGTCACTTCTATGGGACCCACTCCCTTGTGACTCTAAGTCCAGGCACAATACAAATTTTAACATACAAAAATTCTTTCTTATACATATACACCAGTAATCTGACATAAGAACACATACATAAAGAACAATCACTGTGGTTGCTGATCATATTTATTCTTGAAAGAAAAGTTATTTAGTCAGTAAAATAGAAGTTAAACATTTTTAGACCAGTTTTACAAGTGGTAAAAAAAGGTGCTCCTCTTAAATGCAATGGGAGGGAATTCAACACTGACGAAGCAGCTGAAGAAAAAGCCCCACCTCCAAGATTTTAAGTTTGAAAAATCTTCGGTTGCCTTTTACTAATGGGTTGTAATTTTGAGATGGAATATACTCCTGTAGGAAATGTAGAAAGACTTTGTGATAACAGATCGTTTAAACATTTATAGCACATTACTGCAACTTTGCGATAAATACAAACTTTAACAGGAAGCCAATGATTGACAATGTAACTGTAAAGGCAGTTAAGTTGCGTGGTCTTTGACAGCTACATTACATACACGCACAATTGGTCTGGATAACTACACATGTTGGCAGGATTTTACTGTTGGTTAAAACATTCGTGGACTTCAAAAGTCATGTACGATGCCATTATGATGAATATTGGAGTGAACAGGAGCTGTACTACAGTCAACAGACATATAATATCTATTTTCCAAAAGTTTTTAGTATGCGTCATGATGATTGAAATGAAATGGAAATGATGCCAGTAACAATGAAAATACCCACAAGAAAAAATCTTTGTCACCACTATCTACCAAAAGAATGCAACTTGATAATACGCTCGTAGAAAGGTGGCTGAAGTTTGTTCTTACCAGGGTTGTAGGCACAATTCTTAAAAGAATTAAATTGTTTTTCCTCTTCTGAAAAAAAAAAATTGTTTCCTGGGCTTACTATATTAGAACAGCTTGCAAGTGATTTAAATCTGCGTGGGGCCACAGCTAATCAGGAAACTTCGACTGAAAAAATCCCATAAAAACCACCAGGACAATCTTTTTAACAGCTCAAACAGCTGAAAAATTGCACAACCATAAAGAAATGTGATGCAAAGACACCCCCCTACTCCCCCCTCAGTAATTTCTGTTTTCCCAAACTGCCATAACCTTTAACTGAACACCCTTGCACTATATGCTTCCCAGGAAGTTGAGGTAGTTTCAGAATGCTCTCAGGTCTGCTGGGGTAATAGTATAAATTGTGAAGCGCATAGAGCTTGCTGTTGAGCGGGGATTTGCGCTATACAAATGCTATCTATTATTATTATTTAAAAACTGAAAGTTGACCGTACAATCACATTTAGGTGAGGTATTCTCTCATAGCTTTCCTACACACACTAATATTCCCCAAATTATTTTTTTTAATCCACCCCTTTCCCACAAAATAAATGTTTTTCTCTCAGGTCAAATGACAGCTAAAAAAAAAGAAAAGTAAGTTATGATGGTTGGCAGACCTGAGCTGGTGCAGAACTCGATTGGGATTCGACCCTTGCCGATCCAGTTTGTTGATGAAAGCTAGACATGGTACGTTGTAGCGCTTCATTTGTCGGTTGACCGTGTAGGACTGACTCTGAACACCTCCCACCGCACACAGTACCAGCACAGCACCATCAAGCACGCGCAGAGCCCGCTCAACCTCTACAGTAAAGTCAACGTGCCCTGGAAGGGGGTATGGGGGGGGAAGAAACAAACAAAAAAACAAGACTGAGACTGACAACAAAAATCAAACCACCTGAAACTGGATTGATGTGACTGTCTGTCTTTCTTAATGCCAATCATCAAAATGACGTTTCCGAATATATCATTATCCACATACCGGACAACTGATTGACCATGGGCGGGCTTTCTTTGAAACAAACTGTTTTCTTACACAGCAAGCTGCAAAAATATTTAAATTACGAGACAATTTCACTTAAAGAAATTCTGAAAATAGTGCAAAACAATAAACCCACTCTACTTGAAAACTTTCAAAATTTTGAATAAAAAAACAGTAAACAATATGTGAGGCAGTGTGGTGTGGTTAACAGGCGCTTGTCAAAACAATCAAATCAAAGAAACTGGCATTTTTCTGGGCGTTAGACATTTTCTTTTTAAAACTTTTGGCTTTCAAACACGCTTTACTTTGTGGAAGCTACCGAAAAAAGTTGATCAGGGCACAAAAAAGGTAAGTTTTCAGTTTTCAAGGACACTAACGATTTCAAAGTCACAAAACTTTGGTGGCCATTTTCTCGCTAATTTTACCTCTCATACCAGGCAACCCCCACCTCCTTCAATCGCAAATATCTCGACTTCTATTCAAGAGTAATGGGTGCATTCTTTTTTGGCCAAAAGAAAAGACAAATGATTAATCTTTAAGATCTATTAATCACTCTATATGCCCAAACATTGACGAGTGCCTGATTCCACTGTGTCGTGACACATATTACTCACGACAATCGTCAACACATTTTGAACTGAAGTCACAACATTTTTTCAAAACAATATTCAGAATGTATTCAAAAGTTTGACTAACTGAAATATTCAGCACACAATACACCAACTTCACAGGAGTATAAGACAGAAAATTTCAGAAACAGGGAGCTACCACCTACAAAAATAAAACGAAAAAAAAAAAATTTTTTGAAGAAAACAATCATCCGCCCATCCTACCTGGCGTATCGATAATGTTGATGTTATGATCCTTCCACATAACGTAGGTGGCTGCAGACTGGATTGTGATCCCACGTTGACGTTCCAGCTCCATGAAATCCATCTTAGCACCCACCTGATCTTTCCCTCGAACCTTATAAAAATAAGAAGAACATATGACATTTATACTACGTTCAACCAGATTAAAGTACACAGGCTCTGAGCATTTTATAAATACAATAGCTCAAACAGTACATTGTGTTTTGACTAAAATCTCTATTCATATAAATATAAATCTCATTAATGTAACAACAGGCTGACATTTGAATGAATAATAAGGTTTCATAACTACTGAGCAAAGCATTCCAGCTCTTGGGGCTATCATATACAAATGCCCTTTTACCCACTGATTTAAGTGTCATGGATAGTAAAGGAAATTTCTCTTTGTCAGTTGATGACTTTAAACTGCGAGTTGGAATTTACAGTTTCAAAGGATTTAATGAAATATGATGGTGCATTATCATTTAAGCATTTGAGACATACAGAGAGTGCCCAACTAGTACACAATTCTTTTCTTAAGAGAAAGCCAATGCAGGGTCAATAAAGGAGGTGTAGCAAAGTGTCTTAAAATCACAATCAAGTTCAAAACCTATTAAATGCACTCATAATATGTTCTAGAAATGTAAAATTTGTGTCTTTCAAGAGGTTGAACGTATACAAAGTTAGCATAATCCACTGAATCTTAGAAAACACCACATTCCACTCTGTGGACAAACCAAATGTAAAAACTTATGTGTTGGGCACAATCTAGGAGACCACATAATTCTGAAACATTATGAGCTTGATAGTCCAGTTTACCTTTTAATGTATAAATGTGTACACTACTAAAAAAAAATGTCTCAAAGCCTAAGTTGGCCCTGACAGGTAGGGTCAAAGCCCATTTCCAAAATCATCTAGATAGTGCTGATGGGGGACACAAAACACTGGTAATTACATTTTCAATATTTAACAGTGTGTTTTTACCTGCAGTATCAGATTTGCTTTCACAACAATTTAACTTAAAATTTTAGCTAGGGTTTAGAGAGGCTATTACAAAAAAATGATTTTGCATATATCAAGACCTCATGCATTTCAGCAACTCTTCCTGTGTAGAATAACAGACGTTCTGTTAGAGTTGTCTTTCCAGAGTCAATATGAGCCGAGATTCCAATGTTGCGGATTCTTCTGACATCTTCAATCACTTCCTGAAAAAGACAAGTTTAATAAAACTATGCTGTACATTAGCTTTTAGATGAAACAGCAACCACACACCATGTCCTACTAAATGTTACGTCTTTTTCTCAAAATAAATCAATAAAAAACACAGGCAAGGAGTAATTCAAGAGTTGGTATACAATACATGCACAAATTCACACTCATTATCATCATACACCTGCTGATGTTAACTGACATAAAAGAGAGACTGTTTACTACTTAATTTAAGGCACAAAAAATGAAGATGAATAAATTAAAAACAGGATGCAGAGATTTTTTCAGAAACACAAATAACAACATTTTAAAAAATATCTACAAATCAAACATACACATACATACCATTCTTACCTAAAGATCGTGCAGTTTCCCTAATGAGCAAAATCTATGGGATTTTTTAATTCTACACAATCCTAAATATAATAAACACAGTACAACACGGATAGCTCGAATATGTCGGGACCGGCCTCTGTAGTTCGAGGGGTCCGTAGCACTTTTATGTGAACAATGTTATGGCATCAGCAGTGTCAGAGAATCAAAGGAAGCAACAAAGATTGCTACTTTTAGGGCCCTTTGACGAGTAAGAGCTTTAGAAAAGAGTTTTTGTAGTTGGTACGGGTAGTCCGCCCATTTTCCCTCCCTCCGCCGGGGCCAGCAATTAGCGTGATGGTGATGAGGAGCTGTAGCAGGGTAGACTGGAAGTATTTGCTGTTGTTATTGGTGGTTTCTAGTTGAATTTGAAACCATGGTGAAATGAAAAATGGGGAGCTCCATGATGTATGTCGTGTGTGTGTGTATGTGTGTGTGTGTGTGTGTGTGTGTGTGTGTGTATGTGTGTGTGCGTGTGTGTGCACGCGTGCGCGCGTGTCAAGCAGCAGGCTAAAAATAGCACAGCTAGCTGCTTCTGTGGAGGGTGGAAGGTGGTCTTTTACCGACCTTACCTTTTTCTGTATTAAAAAAAAAATTATTATTTTGTCTCAAGTGCTCCTAAAAGGTCATTGACTTAAGACCTCCGCAGCGGCGTAATTAGTTCGCCTATTCTGTGTTAGTGTTCGAGTTTTGCGTAATTTTCTTACAAAGATCAAAAAGAAAAAAAATGGGACTGTAGGCACAGCTCGACAGATGCGTGATCATACTATACAGCTGTCTTTAGCCAAATCAAATTCAAATGACTTACCCCAACTTTTCTTGTTGAATACCAGCTAGAGCTTGTGAGTAAAGACTGGGGAAAAGAAATAAGACAAGAAAGAAAAATTTTCATCAACAAATTGTAAGTAAAGCAAGGACAACATCAACTTATTTTCTATGAAGAACAATTTGTAATTCTTCTTAAATAATATGTATATATAATAAAGAATATTTCTGAACCTGTACTGTACTTTAACTCAGCATTTCTCAGGAAAGACAATCATCAAATATTCCCTTTGTTACAAAAGGCGCATATATAATATTTAATTTTGATCAACTCATTCTAAGTAATCTGAAAGAAAACAGAAGTTTCAACATTTCTAGAGGCAGGCTAATTTAAATCTAATGATACCTTATTCATAGAGTTGTATCATAAAGATCTCTCTTAGGAGTTGTTAAATTTAGCAATTTTCTTTTACAATCTGAAGAGATTTGATTAACATTATGGACTGATAAAAGATTAACATCAACAGATAGGGGAGAGCGGGGCAATAGGAAAGGTGGGGCAATAAGAAATGGATTTGGAGATACCCTCATAAATGTCTCCTTTTCTCTTACTGTAATTACCTGGGGCATTAGGCAACACTTGCTATGCAACCTAAGCATGTTAACATCTTATATAATCAATAGTTCAGAGAGAAATCACTCTTACATCATTTTTTATGAACATTTTTTGAGCCAGAATTATGAAGCATTGTTTCAGCCATTTTGAAACCATTGTCAGAGGTTTTGTCTGCTTGTCATTAACACACTCGATTGTCGAATATCAAAACCACTTCCATTTATCATTTCTATTTTAGCATCAGTTTCTTGCATCGTAGCCTTATCCTGTTGACATAGATTTTATTGCCTCAAAGAACCTCCCCTCAATTCCGAAGCTCTGCAGCAACGCTCCTACTTTGAATGAACTTTGATTACCCCAACAACCACCGATCCGTCCCTTACCCATGACATAATTATACGATGCCAACGCGCACAGGTTCACTGACCGGTCAAAATGACGGGCCCGACAATCTAGAAATCGGAGGACGCTTGTTTTCTTTTTCTTTCTTTTTTTGTCATTATAGTGACAGCAGTGAGAATATCGATTTAATTTATATGGCGACACTGTGTTTTATATATATGCACAAACTGCATGTTACAAATTTTTAGTGACAGTAAATCTAACATTAACAAACTATCATCGGACATTCTGAGTGGTAACGAAAGCGAAAGTAGATTTTAATTTTCCAGATGGAGTCTCAGTATTACACCTACACTTCCGCCTGCCGCCATAGCCGCTTATTTGTGTGAAACGTACTCTTGGACTAGGGAAAGCTGAACGTAATATCACAAAAGCGGCCGGAAACATATGAACTCAGTAGCCTTTTCAGATTTGGTTTCGAGGACTTTGTACATTTTCTCGGGTCTCTGCGATTTTGTTTTCAGATTCCCGGGTAATTCCTGCAGTCCCCCTGCGTAGAATCCTCATTTGGTACTGACCAATTCTCTAGACCAAAACAGATTTTAGAATATTTTGCTTTGAAACCGATTTTCTTTCTACATTCACAATTCTGTTTTCTAAATAAATGAATTAAATGCACAGCTTTTCCAGCCGCAGCAAAAATACGAAGATAGACAGAAAGAATGAATGGATGAAAGGAAGGAGGAGGATTATCTAACCTATAGTAAATAGACAGATTTTAGCCGATATAAACGTGAAAAACTATATTGCCGACCGAACTGCAATGATAGACAATGGCGAGTGTACGAAATGCGCAATCTGGCAGTTTCTAATACAACTTATTGCTGAGAGTTGCCTTAAATATCCGACAAGTTACGAAGGCAAGTGCTGATCTCTCTCTCTCTCTCTGCTCATATAGCCTTACTACTACTAAACCTCTACTAAAACTATACAGAGTGATTATTCTCACCCTGGGTGAGGATCAACTGGATATTATTCTCACCCGGAATATTTACACCATTTTTATTTCGTTTCGGGCATCATTGGACCCCTGCTGTCACTGAGTCACTGAGCACTCAAGGCGACAAAAGTCGCCTCCCTCTCTCACTCCGCTGAGCAGGCAAGGCGACTATAATCGCCAACGGGCAGGCCAGCTCTCGAGCATGGGAGGCAACTATTGTCGATTTGGGGGAAAACCTTATCTTTTGAGCAAATAGCGTCACCTTTTGTGGCTATTTATTAGTTCTATATTGGAAAATTTTACTCTTGAATGGTTCAGCCAATCAAAAAATAAGAATAAAAAAAGCCTAGGGTCAAGGCACTGTGTGCCTGAAAAATAATCGTGGGTTCTGTTAGGGATAACATGTTTTTTGTGTTGTTCATGTGTGAACAAACACCAATCCTAACATTACAATGGCAAACTATTACTAACATTATTTCATTACAACAGCTTTCAGTTAAGGCTATTATTTTTTTAAATATACTACTCTGGCAAGTGAATTCCTTTCTGAATTCAGAATATACACTTGTCTAGCTTAGTCTACGGTTTTGGTGAAGATGATCAGATAGGCGTACATACTCTCAAGATTTTTAGAAATGAAATAATTATTAAAAACATTTATAACAATCCCCGCGGGAGCCTAGAAAAATCGGAAATCGGCCAGTGCTCTGGGGCAGGTCACGAACTGTCACTCATACCATTCAGAAATTATTTTCTATCATCCTATTTAACTATTAGTATACATTCTACATGTAGGCCTACCCGTTCTCAACACCCAGGTAGGCCTAAAAGAATAAAAATCCATTGCATTCTCAGACCAGGTGAGAATAATATTCATTTTATTCTCACCCGGGGCGAGAATAACAATATATTAAATTCTCACCCCGGGTGATAATAACGACAGCCAAAACTAAAACTCTCTCTCTCTCTCTCTTTAACTCATGGAGTTGATATAATATATATGATGATGCGGCATGTATGACGGAACTTTCGGAATGTAAGGATTTCCACAAAAACAAAGAAGACTGGAAGCACTGCAGAACATATTTTTTTCTTTTATTCTTTCGGCACCCATCGTAAATTCGGTAGTTTTGACACCTTTTCGGTATGGCAGTAGAACAGGCCCAAAATCAGTAACTGCCAGAAAAATCGGTAGATTTAGGCAGCCCTGCAAGCTCTATACTAGATCTAGAAGTCTCGTAGGCTATCATCTATTGTTAATTAAATAGATCTAGATCTAGATATCTTGATCTAGTAATAGAGATGTTCTAGATATAGATCTAGGCCAGCTCTATTCGGACTCGAGTCCGAATGGGTTCTATATATCGGACTCGGGTCCCAAAAAAAAGGTTTTATTTATGGCCGTCTTTATTCGGACTCGAGTCCGAATAACATTTTTCCATATTCGGACTCGAATCCGAATTTTTAAAATTCGTCCGAATATGAAAAAATGTTATTCCGACTCGGGTCCGGAAAAAAGGAAGTGTCTTCGTTCTATAGATCTAACGTTCAGTGCT